CGAGCAAAATTTTGATACGCTGCTCTTCTTGCTTGGACGGCATTTTGACAACTGAAGAGTGAATTCCAAAATCAAAATAGGAGCAACATTCTACACACACACACCTTCAAAATGAGGGGTGTTCAGGTTTTTTAAATGCAAAATTGAAAGAAATACGTCAAGTTGATATTGACCAAATTTTGACCGTATAACCCTTTATGAAATAAATAGTAAAAATATTTCTAAATTGAGAGTATTTCTAAGTCGTGTTGGAAACGATTGATATATCTGGATATTTTTAAAGATAAATTGAACTATTTTAGAAATCACCCACCTTTGCCATTGCTTAATGAAATATTTTTCAAAACAAAAGGTTCCTAGATTTTCACATGTTGTTTCACAAGTACTTGAGGATATTCTGCGAAAATTTCAGCCTATTTGATGAAGGTATGCAGATGTGTCCCTGAGGACTTCCCTATAGTTCGGAAAAACTTCCCCGAACATCGGCAGAACTTCCCTGAACTTCAACAGAACTTCTCTGAATTTCCGCAGAACTTCCCTGAACTTCGGAAGGACTTTCCTGAACTTCGGCAGGCCTTCCCTGAACTACGGTAAGACTTTCCTGAGCATTAGTAGGACTACCCTGAACTTGGAATCTTGGAATTGAAGTTGTCATTTTAGTAGTAGAATTATTATAATTATATTGTTTACGAATATGTTCAAAATTTTAATACTTCTCATTTTTCTAATTTGCAATGCTTGTTGGTATTGGTGCATTTCGAATTTGGGTGTGGTTTGAACGGATGTGGATTCAGTATCAACGGAAAATTATTAACTTTCACCTTAAGGGGGTTAGGTTTTTGATAAGTCTTTAGTGGGAATGACACTGATGAACGCTAATGTCACTTCTATGCAAATATTAATCAACTTTCAACTTTTAGATGCAAAACAAAGCTAATAAAAGTTTCTTCGAGAGCGTGGTTCAAAGGTCTGGATGTAAGTCGGGGATTCATTCGAGTGATGTCAAGACTTATGTCCAACCACTACTCGCTAGACGCACATCTTTATAGAATAAACCTCGTTGACAGCAATATATGTAGGTGCAGAACCGGTTATGATGACATCGATCTCGCAGTTTAGTATTGCCCGGGTAATGACGCCTCCAGAGCACGACTGTTGGATACCCTAGTGGCCCGAGGTAGACAACCCTTCCGTGAAATAAGAGATGTATTGGGAACACGTGATCTTCCCTACATGCAAGCGATCTACGAATTCCTTTGTTTGTCTGATGTTAGAGTTTGATGTGACCATCCCCTCCTTTCCAAACAATTTCCAGCCATTGTGTCCCAGTCTTATTATCCTCCTGTTCCTGTGCTACTTGCCCCTGCCCAGTCAGGATTTGGTCAACCGTCCGAGAGTAGTATCTGAAGGAGGCTTCAGAAACCAGTTTCCTACCTAGCTCCTTCCAATCGAAATTGTTACCCATTAACCTCGAGCTCGCCACGATTAATTGGTACCCAATACTAACCTAGAACTACTGCTATTTAAAATGTAAATCCAAACATTACTGATTTTGGCTCCGCAAAGTGTCACACACGACTGAGCCTAGTAAATAAACGAACTAGTTAAAAAAAAGCTAATAAAGCGAATATATTACTTATTTGATGGCTTCTACACAACCAACCACTCTTGTTGAATAACATAAACATCAAAAGTGCTTTCTCAACAACTAAACAACCTGTACTGTGTACTCAACTAATAAGCTGTGTTAGCGCTACTTTGGAAGCTATTTTACAGTCAACTAGGTTTATTTTTAGACGTGTGCAGTTTTACAGCTTTTACTCTGCTTCTTTACTACTAGTCGAGAAGAGTGATTCATGTGCACTATTATAAAGCCTCTACTCAGCGATCTTTTTGTAGAACGGCATGTACATTTGTTTACGTCAGATTAAAGTGATGGCGTAGCGAAGTTGGTAGTATCAAGGTTCGCCAATGCGGTCATCTTGAGTTAGATTCCAGGGTTCCGGTACAGTGTAAATGATTTGGTGGTGTGCTTATAACTAATTTCGATTAATTTAATTCGCAGTAAATTCCTCCACCAAAAAAAAAGCGTAAACAGAAAACTGTCTAGTGATTATTTGAAAATCGGGTAAAGGTTGAGTAAGCGCCTTTCAAGTTCACACACAACTAAACAGCATAATAACGGCTGTATAGAAGCGTAAATGGATATGCAATAAGAGCTTGCCACTACCGTCCCAACAGCCATAAGTAGCTGACAAGTTCGCCAGATTTGCTTGTATAGAGGTTGAGTAAATGTTTCCTCATATCGTATAACATTTGAATACAGCTTGAGCCTGTATAAATGAAATGAGTAAAGCGTTTACATTGCAAAAATTGTTAGTTGGGCACATTGTAGTCGAAATACGTATCTTTCATGGATACCAAAAATAATTAAATTTAAAAAATACATAGGGGAAATGGCTCTAATTTTGGCCTATCGATCTAAGATTGGGCCCATCGCTAAAAATCTGCTATTTATCAATTTTATCTAGATGAACACGGCATTGAGACGGTACTAATGAATATTTTTGGTTGCTATTGAAAATTTAGTCGATTGCTGAATTTATGTATGGGCCCAAACTAGGGGCATTTAGGCCGACATTACATCCCTTTCCCCTATTGTTTGCTGTTTTATTTAAGCATTCCGCTAACAACCCAATTTCATTACTTCAATATCTTAAGAAGTTCAAGGCAGGAACCAACTTTACGGCACTTGTAAGATCTGTCGCGGAAGAGAACCAGATACTGCAACCACACTGTCCGTTACTCCAACGGATCGACATCACGGACCCCCATATGTCCGTATTACACTGTATTCTCGGCAGAAGCGGTCGCCGCTTTTATTACTGCTACTACACCCTCACACCCTCAGTTACAACTACATTATAACCACAGACAAACAGACATAACACATTGTATATTTCTTACTGTAAAACATCGTCGCTAAAACATTACCGCCTTCTGTTGAGTACACTGTGGTGGGTAGTACGCTGAACAGATGGCGGTAGTGTGTAAACGTCAAACGCAAGGGAATTGACTATGCGCGCCACAGGTGGCGGTACTACCAACTACGATACTTTTAAATTGACCGTTAAATGCTTGTTCGATGAACAACTTGCGAGTGTTATGTTTATAACTATTAGTGCAATGGATGAACGTTAGTTTCGGGGTCATGTTAGTATTATAGTTTTGTTAGTATTGACCCGTATTCAGACCTGTCGGCCCCTCGAACACTAGTCGCAGGCAGTTGTTGTTAGGACATGCGACACTGTCACTGCTACTATGTTAGAGGTATGACCAGTCAAGTTTCGAAGTGCAAAAAAACTGTTAGAACTTACTTATAAATTAACTTTACACTCAAAGTAAACTATTAACCTTAGCATTACAAAAGCGAATTTAAAATTACTATTTTAATTTATGCTAATATTAAAATTTTGATAAAACTACAATTTACGGCTCCGTGAAATTAACTCGCTTGAACCTTTCAAATCAATGAACTGGAGAAAAACTAAAATTTTAACAAATTGCAAAAAAAATCATAGCGACACTTGACAAATCATCATCAAGCCCCTCATCCTTGGACAGGGGGTTACGCGGTATTCCAAGAAAATCATAACAGAAAAAAGAAAACGATAATTTTCATAGCGAAAATGGTAAGAGACACCATAAGAAGTTTTCAAGCATGCGAAAAATATTAGAAACATTTTCATTACCCTAACAATGATTTTTCCAGCGTTCCTCCACCGTAAAAATATTTGTAGAAAACATCTTTCAGATATATTTTTTATGGATTACTGTGATAATTTCCTGTTTGTGCAACGTCATCTTCATGTACAACTACCCTACCCGCTGTAACTACTATACAAAGAAATATAGAAAACAATATAGTATCTCGAACACCTCCGCCATGGCAGGACGGTCAAGCAAACTGTGTTTTATTTATTTCCATCTCCGTACCTATCACAACGATCATAAACACAACGTAGGGATCCCGCCCGTGCACGATCATTTCCTTATCATTTTACCACACAACGTTCTGTCTACGATACTTGGTACGTAATGTCCAGGTCAAGGAAAACATAACACATCAATTAAAATTTTCCGGAAAAATTAACCACACCAATTTTTTGAAATTTGTTTTCGTTCATCCTTATAACCACAAATTCTACCTGTGGAAAAAATTTCATAAAATTCTCGTCCGTCCGGCCCATTTTGTTCGAAAGTAAAAAAAAAAAATCTCCATTTTTTAACCTATCTGGTTATTACGATACTCTTCATGCAAATAATAAGTCGTTGTATCATTCTAATCCCATTTAATACATTCAATTCTGTTTTTATGCGATTTTTTTAGCCTCTATTTTCGATCGTGTGATCCCAACTTTCAGCCAAATTTGCGAATTGTTTCAAAAAATTAAAAAAAAATCGAAGGTGGTGAGGGGTGTACCCATCCTGCATGATGGGAAAATCGAAAAAAAAAACTAAAATCGCGTAAAAACAGAATTGAGTGTACCTATTACATAAAGCGATTAACAATCACCAAGTTAATATGCATATTTGAAGAAATTCTGATACCACTTCTCAAAAATGAACATTATTAAGACGAGTCGAGCCTCCAAATTCATCTCCAATCGCACCATCGTAGGCCGGTTATTTGTGCAAAACAACCTCTACAACCATAACATCCAATCCATTATACCCACTATGACAAAATTGCCACGGTCGTTCTCCTTCATACACTTAACCATATCGGTGTAGACGTGCCTGCGCTGCGCGACCTAAGGCGACTATCATGACCTGACGGCGACTTCGACTTCACACACTCAATCACTAGCTCCTGTTCCATATGGAACGAAAGTGAATGCAAAGCTTGTGTGTATGTTTCCAATCCTCCCGCTTTGCTTATCAAAATATCATCGCAACAGGCCCACTCCGAGTGTGTTTCATGAGTCGTGTGTTGTAGTCGTACGCAAGATAGAAGAAGGCAACCATGTCGATCCGCAACTTGACAACTGCTGCTAAATTTCTGACCAAAGGTCTAAGGCCTGGCAATGTGTTGGCCGGAACTGGATGTCGAGCCATATCCCACTATCCGATTGATGAATCGATTTTTGGACTAACCGAGGAACAGCAGCAGGTTTGGATAGATACTTTTTATCGCTTTTTACTTAGTGACGTACTTAATGGAATATTATTATTGGTCTGGTTTTGCAGTTACGTCAGACAGTGTTCAATTTTGCGCAAAAAGAATTGGCCCCCTTTGCACAGGAGATCGATAAGCAGAATGAGTTCAAGTAAGTATCCTTCAACAACAACACAACCGCCCACAAAGATTATGCAAATAAATGCCGGACTTTTACAGAGACCTCCGCAACTTTTGGAAGAAGATGGGCGATCTCGGTCTCCTTGGTCCCACCGTGCAGCCGGAATACGGTGGCCTTGGTGGAACCTATCTGGATCATTGCGTTATCAACGAGGAAATCTCCCGCGCTTCCGGAGCAATTTCTCTGTCCTACGGAGCTCATTCGAACCTGTGCGTCAACCAAATCCATCGCAACGGAACAGAGGAACAGAAGGTCACCTACCTGCCGAAGCTGATCTCCGGAGAACACATCGGTGCGTTGGCCATGTCTGAAGTAGGATCCGGAAGTGATGTCGTTTCCATGAAGACAAAGGCTGAAAAGAAGGGTGACTACTACGTGCTGAACGGAAATAAATTCTGGATCACCAACGGCCCCGACGCCGACACGTACATCATCTATGCGAGAACGGACTCCAGCGCGAAACCTCAGCACGGAATTACGGCGTTTATTGTCGAGCGAGATACCCCTGGCTTCTCGCGAGGACCCAAGTTGGATAAACTTGGCATCCGAGGCAGTGGAACATGTGAACTGATCTTCGAAGATGTGAAGATTCCTGCTAAGAACATTCTCGGAGCACTGAACAAGGGTGTCTATGTGCTCATGTCCGGCTTGGATTACGAGCGATTGGTGCTGGCTGCCGGACCGGTCGGACTGATGCAAGCGGCCTGTGATGTAGCCTTCGAGTACGCTCACAGCCGAAAGCAATTCAACACCCGTATCGGTGAATTCCAGCTGATCCAGGGTAAAATGGCTGACATGTATACGACCATGAACGCTTGCCGAGCTTACCTGTACTCGGTGGCCCGGTCTTGCGATATGGGCAAGGCGAACCCGAAGGATTGCGCCGGAGTCATACTGTACTGCGCGGAAAAGGCGACCCAGATTGGGCTGGATGCTATTCAGATTCTGGGTGGAAACGGATACATCAACGACTACCCTGCCGGACGTATTATGCGTGATGCCAAGCTGTACGAAATTGGGGCCGGTACGTCGGAAATCCGCCGGATGATTATCGGACGTGCTCTCAACAATGAGTACAAGTAGACTGCGGGTGGAAAAATGACGACCGAAGGGTTTGCGGGTAGTAGATAAACAACTCAGATATATTTCACGTAAAACGTGAATCGTAACGAATGTGCATTTAGACAAAGCAGTGCCTTATATTTTTACCATAGTAAGACTAATGAAGCAGCTTCTTCTTATTTCGATTGATTTTTTTTTTTTAAATAAACACATGAATCCTATGCATTTTAATAATCTCATTTACCTTGAACCATCAGCTCAACACGTTCCAGCATTTCCCATTTTGTATCTAGGCCTATCGAAAAGCTTGCTAATTTCACATGAACAGACATATTTTAACATTTTAAAGAAAGTTTAGATGTTGGCTCCATTTTCACTATATGAACATTATCCCATTTACGAATTTGAAAATTTTCACAACATTACACTTGCTATTACAACCTGATAATAATTAAAACAGCATTATGCATTGCTTTATAAATACTATATTTACACGATTCTTATTTTTTTAGGATTTAAACAACTAGAACTTCAACCGTTGGCGGTTGGATATTAATTTTTTACCAAACAACAAAGTGTTAATTTCATATTTCACACGACTGAAGACTAAGGCTGTGAACCATTTGCCGAGTTAAATTTAACTCGTGGTTAAAAGTGACATTTCGAAAGTTATTTCTTATGTTCGAAAATCCCCGTGCTGTCGATCGACCGGTTTTCGAGCCACGGTCGTCAAAATTTAACTTCTTGTCTGTCAGAAGTAACCACGCTCGGATAGCAGGGTTAATCGATAACTTTTCATCTGTCAAATTTTAACCAAAAGTTAAAATAATCCACCAAATGGTTCAGAGCCTAAACGGAGTCAACGGACACCGGACACCTGACACGAAAAGCTCTGGCCAAGGTGACTACAAATAGGTGTTCTAATGTGTCAAATTCATGATTCAGCCATGTTGGATTTTTGTATGGGACAGCGACCGAGTTTGTTTACAATTTGCTCTAAAACCGCACTTTTCCACCCCGCGACCTCCTCGCCTATATAGTGACAAAGCTGTATCACCATTTATATACCCACCATGGCTCTGGCATAAGATTGGGCGACCCCTGCTGAGGACTGAGCTTGATTTTGAAAAAGGTCAAGTATACGGGACTGTTCATTAGACTGGCCCACAAAAATAAAAGTTCTAATTTTCCCCGGGACAACCTCCATATTTGTGCCTTTAGGTGAGAAAACCATTCTCTGAAAGTTTTAGCTCATTTAATTGTAGGATGAGCTGGCGCTTTTAGTTTGAATGTTGTATGAAGATTTTGGATAACATCAGCCCAGTGACAGGCGCGTAGGCAACATGTTATACAGTGACAGCGGGCCCAGCACAGCAAAATAAGTGATTTGAGCCCGGGACATGCTGCCTACTGTCAAACGCAGCTGTTGGTATAGGTCTTGTCACTGGCCTGGATAAAATACATGAAAAAATGACACTCCTACACTCTATGATCGATAGAGTGTAGGAGTGTCATTTTTTCATGTATTTTATCCAAAATCTTCATACAAAATTCTTATTCTCGATTTGATTCAGATTTTCAAAACGAGTTTCAAAACTTGTAGTTTAAACAATGAGTTACAACGTTGCTAAGGACTGCATTATGAATCCGGTTAATTTTATTAAGATTTTCGCTTTTGAATGGATATGAGCATTTTGTATATGAAAATTTCAACCAAATCCCCTATATAAACATTAAACCAAAAGCAATGTGGTAGATAGAGTTGGTATAGAATAATAATTAGTTACCATTATTTACCATAATTATTATTCTATACCAACTCCATCTACGCACAGCACAGTCCGTTTTACGTCAAAAAAAGCTGAAACATTCAAAGAGTGGTTATCTTATCTATACTGACACGAGTCTGGATGTTGGCTTATGGAAAATATGAATTTTTATTTTTTTAGGGGTAACCCTAATAAACAAATAGCATAAACGAACTGTATCCCGAATGGGTAAACTATCCCACCAATGGTTTGGATGATAACACGTCGTTAAGCTCTCTTTTATGGTTTTTTTTTTTATTAGGGAATCTAGTTGATACGTTGCATAAACTGCCTGAATTTTGGTGCAAAATACGACAAAAAAGCCCAAGAATGAATATCTCCACAATACTTAGTTGAATCGTGATGCTGTCTTCAGCAAAGTTGTTCCTTATAGTTTAAGCTACATGTGCTGAAATTCTGAGCTTAATCAAGTTTGCTGAACCATTTATGTGCACGATAGAGTGAAAGAATGTTATTTCTCCATATATTTCATCCAAAATCCCCTACTCAAATTTGAGTAAACGCATGTTTACTCATTTTTGAGTAACATCCCTTTTGGCTGGACTGAGGCGTTTTGACTCAAAAATGAGTACCCGGAAAAAATAACCATAAAATAATATAAAATCACAACACAATCTATTGCCAACAATCGATCCTATTGTACACACTTAAATTTTTTCGCCAGATTCCAACAGCCGAGTAATTCTGCAATTTATTTTGCTGAGATTCAGTCAAACAATTGCCGAGACTCAGCTAACAAATAAAACTTTGCAGAGATATCAGCTAACAAACAGATATTTTGCAGTGATATCAGCAAAAGTGAATGCCGAAGTAATCGGCTGTTGGAGATTTTACCGAGCTAGATTAAGTGTGTATGTATATAATACAAGTAAACTTAAAATATTGTTGTTACAATAGATCTACAATACGTTCCATAGAGCATGAATTTTCAACAATAGAAAAACAATAAAATTAATGGTAAATTACTCAAGTTTATTCGGGAAAAAGTGATTTTCTGTACGGTTAAGATACATAACAACCCCCTTGTTCTATTGTAGATTTCCACATTTACCATAGATTCTATTGTTGAAACTATACATTCAATTGTTATTTTATCGTTGCTGACAATACAATTTATTTAAGTACAATAAATTCTATTGTATGGTTACAATACATTTCATTGTACCTGTATCGTTCTTTTTTTTTACGGGTAGCCTCTAAAGGCCCAAGCGCAATGACAGCGGAAACGGAACGGCAGCGGCAGCGGAAAAGCCCGATCTGAGTAAGCCTACTTGTCGGATTGAAAACAAGTTAGAACCAAATCGACATCGGTTAGGCTTCTTGATGTCATTTGTGACAACTGTCAAACTTTCCGTTTCCGTTCCGCTTCCGTCCACATTGCGTTTGGGCCTTAAGGCTCTGAACCATTTGGCGAATTATTTTAACTTTTGGTTAAAATTTGACAGATGGAAAGTTATCGATTAACCCTGCTATCCGAGCGTGGTTACTTCTGACAGACAAGAAGTTAAATTTTGACAACTGTGGCTCGAAAACCGGTCGATCGACAGCACGGGGATTTTCGAACATAGAAAATACCGGCAGCTCAAAATGTTAGAGTCATACTGTATTGGACATATTTCAGCATGTAAGATGAATAACAAAAATGAGCTGTGTTTGTTCACATCGACTGATACTGAGTGGTTGCGGTACAAGCACATATCGTCGATAATAGACGATTGTTGTGTATCAGAGAACGCTTGCGCAAAAAGGCTAGGGTGGGGAACGGATTCGAAACTCAAATTTTTTTTTTTTTTTTCTTTATTTTAGAGATTTTTAGCCTGAGGCTAGTTCATCTCTTCGAAACTCAAATGTCATTAGCCAAATACATCCGTAGACCATAGGTCCACCGTTGTATAATTGGCAATGCACCCGTGTACTGAATGGGAATTGTGGGTTCGAATCCCACCGGTGCCCTTAGATTTTTTCGCAAATTTTCTCACACACATGTCTCTTACCGACGATATGTGCTTACCTCTCAGTATGTTCAAACTTTCCTATAAACAATTAAATTGACTGCAAAGTCGCTAAACCGTAAAATCAAAATAGAAAATAACTTTCGAAATGTCACTTTTAACCACGAGTTAAATTTAACTCGGCAAATGGTTCACAGCCTAAATAGCGTGTGAGTGAGCGTGTGAGTGAGCGTGTGAGTAAACCTATTTCTCGCGTAACATTTGAAAAGGGCTTATCCTCGTTGATCAAATCTCTTCATCGACTTTCTCTTTAGTTTACCACGGGAACATAAACGAATTCGACAGTGAGCATGCATAAGGGCGAATACGCGATGATCAATTCTCTTCATCGATTTTCTCTTTGCATTGCTACAGCTAAGCGAAACAATTTTCTAGAATTTGTTCAATGCAGAGTAGTAACAGGTTGTATTGGCTATTAAAAGCAACACCAAACGCACCGAGAAACGTTAAATCTAGCCAGTTATTAACAAAAGAGAAAATCGACGAAGAGAATCGATCATCGCGTATAGGCCCTTATGCATGCTCACTGTCGAATTTCTCTCTAAGCGAGCAGCACAGTTTGACAGAAGATGATGTTAGCTTGCGCCTGAAACAACACACTCAATGGGAAATTTCATTTGCAGTCGGGTTATTCGCGAAAGAGAAAATTGATCAACAATGATAGGCCCTTTTCTCGTGTTGCGCGAGACTTGTCAGATTGAAAACTATAAAGGCCGGCGCACAATGCATACGTTTTCGGGGTTTTTTACAAATAATGCATGGGCTAACTGTCAAAAAACCTGAAAACGTATCCATTGTGCGCCGGCCTTAATAATTCAGGCTCTTTACACGGTAAGAAAAAAGTACCCAAAAGTAAGTTCTATTTCACTCATCTCGGCACTATAGTGCAGGAACCCAAAAGTATATACTATAGGTAAAGTTTTAAATAGAATGCTCCATTTGCAAAATAAAAGCATTTTAAGATTGCACTCGTATACCCCCGTGGAAAATTTTGAAACCATCATCATTTTCATAGTTCTTCTATTCTCCACGAGTGCCAACTTTGATTTGCCAATTCCGATCTATTCTTTCCATCCAGCTAACATGCCATAGCAGCGCTTCCAAGTATTTTTTTTAGTAAAATGCATCTGAATGAGTGACATTCCCCCTGGATTTGATAGTTGGCTCAACTGACAGAAAGATAATAATGTGTTGGGGGTAACCCAAGGGATGGATATGGCTGTCATATCGCTTAAGTTTGCTGCGTACCGAACATCTGCAACGTTGTCAGCGGTAGCCTGATATGTTTTGTTGTTTTGATGTTGAGTACGTGTATGCAGCTATATGTCAAACCCCTGCACGGTAAGAAAAAAGTACCCAACGGCCAGTTCACTTTTACCTACTTTTGACCGAGCTTTTGACTAGTTTGTCTCCTTTTCTCCTAACTAATGTTGTCAAAAACGAAGGAGCAAAACCACCCAACAGGGGTAGTAAAGTGTGGGAACTCAACGTTGAGTATAATCATTTTTACCTACTGTTGGGTACAACTAACTTACTTTTGGTTATATAGCCAGCGGAAAATTCCATACGAACTGCACACAAGTAAATGAAAATTACTTTGACCCGCTTTACCTACTTTTGGGTTCCTGCACTATAGTGCCGAGATGAGTGAAAAGAACTTAATTTTGGCTACTTTTTTATAACCGTGTGGGGTAACCCTAGTTGCTATATTCATAATCAATAATCAACGTTTTGTGTATAAAAGTTGAGAGTACCTTTTCAATTGTTGGTCAACAATATATTGAATTGGTTCCGCTTTTTTATAGAGCGGAATTCTATCCGCCAGACTATTAATATAGCGACTATAGGTAACCCCACCGACAGACCGACATGACACTTAATTCTGACTTATGCCCGAAAACCGTAAGCGGCCGATTTGGGCTGTGAACCATTTGCCGAGTTAAATTTAACTCGTGGTTAAAAGTGACACTTCGAAAGTTATTCTGTACACAGAAAAACAAAACTACCCACCGCTTGGGTTTTTTAAACTCAAATTTGAGTTATTTGACCTCTGCCCGTTTCATTTCCTCTCGCTATTGTTGTCAAAAATAGAACGAAAGATTCGACTCAACCGTCTAGTTCCGTACGAGAAGCCAAAATTGAGTAATATGCGATATACCCAAATTTGAGTTAATTGAACTTAATTTTGGGTAGAAAAAATTGAAAATAACTTAGCGATGGGTAATTTTTTTTGCCGTCCTTAAATGCAAACTACTTTGAGCCGGTTTACCCAAATTTGGCTTATCGTACGGAACATGGGAGATGAGTGAAAAGAACTTAATTTTGGGTTGTTTTGAATTTCTGTGTATGTTCGAAAATCCCTGTGCTGTCGATCGACCGGTTTTCGAGAAGAATTCAGCCATGCACTCAAAAAATTTTACACGTTTGATCGAAGTGTTTAAACACTTGATTTTCTAAATGCACAATCACATTTACTTTAAGTGTGTTTCACCTTGGTTCAATGTGTTATACACGTTAATTTATAGTGTTTCAAACTTTGAAATGTTGAAAATCTTTCACTATCTATTCACGTGTATTGCACATTGAATCACGCTACTGTTCAAAACAGATGGATTTAAAGTGTTTTGCATTTCAATACGATGTGAATTGCTTGCTCAGAAAGGTAAACATCTATAACAAGAGTTGTGACTTTATCCTATCAACCTGCCTCATATATGAGAACAACCGTGGCCGTGACCATGGTTGTCAAAATTTAACTTCTTGTCTGTCAGAAATAACCACGCTCGGATAGCAGGGTTAATCGATAACTTTCCATCTGTCAAATTTTAACCAAAAGTTAAAAAAAATCCACCAAATGGTTTAGAGCCTTAAACAGCCCAGTGGCAGGCGCGTAGGCAACATGCTATACAGTGACAGCGGGCCCAGCACAGCAAAATAAATGATTTGAGCCCGGGACATGCTGCCTACTGTCAAACGCTGCTGTTGGTCACTGGCCTGGATTTAAGGCTGTGAACCATTTGCCGAGTTAAATTTAACTCGTAGTTAAAAGTGACATTTCGAAAGTTATTTCTTATGTTCGAAAATCCCCGTGCTGTCGATCGACCGGTTTTCGAGCCACGGTCGTCAAAATTTAACTTCTTGTCTGTCAGAAATAACCACGCTCGGATAGCAGGGTTAATCGATAACTTTCCATCTGTCAAATTTTAACCAAAAGTTAAAATAATCCACCAAATGGTTCAGAGCCTAAATGTGCAGTGATCCGAATTGTCAAAAACATAGAATTTTTTATCTAGATAAAAATAATTTGTCCAGAATAGATCAGACACGAACCAATTCATAACTTTTGCATGCAGGTTCATGGCTTAGCTAGATATTTCCCGCGAACACGGAGCCAGATGTCAGTAGTGCGCTTTGGTCAGAAATTTTATTGTTTTTGCTATGGTCATTCGTGTCGGTTTGTCGGTGGTGCAGCTACCGTTCATGGAAACTCAGGCCAGTGACAAGGCCAATACCATCAGCAGCGTTTGACAGTAGGCAGCATGTCCCGGGTTCAAATAGTTTATTTTGCTGTTTTGGGCCCGCTATCACGGTATAACATGTTGCCTACGCGTCTGCCACTAGGCTGGGGTCTCGGCTGGGGTAACTTGTCCGAAGATTAGTCTTTGATACGGACATTGGCCCTCTCGCTGCAGGATGAAGACGAATGGGCACGTGCCACCCGGGAAGGACCATTGGACTGCTGCTGGTGAGAACATAGGATTTACAATCAGAAAAATAATCCTTGGGAATCTTCTTTAGAAAAACCCCGTGCTTGGAATTATTGAGACTTGAACAATGTTGTTTAATTTCTGAACCACTATTATATTTCTTTGCCCTTAAGACTTACATGCTTCTACATGTATGCAATTATAAATCTGTATTTTAAATATTCATAATTTAACCATTACTTCAACTACCTTAAATAGTATCATCAAAGAAGCTATTCAGCATCGCGGTCACATCCGTCGGTCGATATTTGACATACTTTTCCGGATTCTTACTGAACTGTACTTCGGAGTAGCTGAAAGTAAACGAATGGTTTGAATAATTGAATTTTCCAACTTTACCAGTAAGGCGGAGTATTCTTACATCTCAAAAAACGCATTGTACTGCGGAATAATGTGCTCGGTGTTGTCCCGCTTGATGCCCTCCCGCAGCAGCCCATCCGGCACGGAGATGGCACGCTGCGTCCGTACCACCTCGTCAAGTTCCTTGTTGAACGAGGAAAACCGCTCCTTGATAATAGCTCGTTCCTTGTCTTTCACCCGGCCGCCGGTCGGTTTCGGAACGTCTTCCAGTGGGGCAATGCATGCCAGCAGCTTGGACCACGAGCTGAGATAGGCTTTCTTCAGGTCTTGCGTCATTTTCTGGTAGCGTTTCTCGCAATCGTGCTCCGTAAGGGCAACAACGTCAATTAGGTTCGAGCGTTGAAGCGACTTCAAGATGTAGTGGGTGTTGTTCAGCTTGAACAGTTGTTTCATCGCTACATCTCCGTACTGCTCGGATTTGGCGGCGATGGTGTAGTTTAGTTCGGCGAGCACTTTCCGCACGTAAATACCGAGAAGGGCTTTATTCTTCTGTTCTAGCGAGACGGTTTTGTGGGAAGCGATTCGATCCAGGTCGTTGGTGTAGATTGGATCCATCTGAAGAATGCTTCCGATGGTTTCGCAGTGTTCCTGGAGCTGCTCCAGGAACCAGATGGTATTGGAGGTCAGTTCGTGGACGGTGGCATCTTTCGGTACATTCGAGCCCCCTCCGTAGCTGATGGTGCTGGAGCTCATGCTGACCATTCCACCGCTTCCCGTATCATTCTTGACGGCGTCGATGAATTGCTCCAGGGCTTTGGAACCGGTTTGCTGGAGTTTGTTCAGCACCCCACCGAGTTGCTGCCGTTGAGCAGTATCGCAAATTTTATCAATGTCGGGTTGAAGGATTTGCACGTGCTTCAGTGCGGAGAAGGTTCCCAAAGCAGCGGACCATTCCTTGCGACTGATGCTCCTCAGCACTCGCCCAGTGATGGCTTCGGCATCTTTGACGACCATTTCGATCGATGGTTGAGAGAGCCGAGAAAAGACCTCATTGTGGCGGGATGTCGGAATGATATCATTCAGAAGCTGGCGTTCCCAAACTAGAAGCTTCTGAAGCCCGAGCAGTAGTACCAGATACTTTTCCAGCTCTTGATCGTTGTCGTTGCCATACTCTTCGGCCGCCAAGATGTCACCGAAGGAGGAATTCTTACGCATGGCCAGTGCGGCCGACTGGCCAAGGGTTTGAGCTTTTATCAGCATCTTGTTGGCTTTACGTTCGAAGCTGTAAAGTAAAAAAAAAAGTGGATAAAAAAAATATGCCCCGAGTGAGGATCGAACTCACGACCTTAAGATTATGAGACTTACGCGCTGCCTACTGCGCCATCGAGGCTTGTGTTTTCAAGGCCTACTTACATTTGTTGCAACCTGGCGGACGTTGACTTTTTTACACCGGCATCCGAGGGTCGTCCGTAGTATCTCGACTTCAACGGTTCATTCCCCCAGCTTCCACTCTTCTGGTGGTCCTTCAGATTCTGCAGCGAACGCACAATCACCTCTGATCGTTCGTCGCCGTATATTTGCACGTACTCCCGCCGCAGATTGTTGTCCAACCACTGGGCGATGGTGTTCAGCTCCTCCCGGGTGCTTGTCGGCAGTTGCTTGATCGAAGGGCAATCCTCATTGGACGAGTCCTCCTCGATGTAGATCAAATCCAGCAGATCGACCGGTCTCATCGGAGTGCTGTGCTTCTTGAGAAGCGATTTCAAGTGGTTATTTAGCGTTTCACAGCCATTATTGAACAGACTCGTCACGTTCTCCAGCTCCACGCTCTGCGGATTGTTATTCAGGAAGTAATCCTTAGCCTTTTTGAGTTTGTTCAAACCGTCCAGGAAACCGGTTATGTTGCCCTCCGACGGTCCCTGATGAATCAGATTACACACATCCTGCGAGGCGTCGTAGTGGGACAGTACCTGTTCCAGACAGTTTAGAGTTGAATCTAGATCTGCGAAGATAAAAGTGGGCGTTACCAGACGCAGATATAACTGGTGGACGTGAAATTACTTTGCTGCTGCTTCTGCAAATTTTTAGTGACGTTGTAAACCGGGAGAATGGTTTGTTCCAACTTTCCCAAGCGCTGCTCGAAGGAGTTTAAAATTTTTGACATCGACTTGGTCAGTTCCGAATACTTTTCCACCCGATCTTTCAGTAGGGCTTGGTTCGTTCGTTCCTGTGAATTCAGGTTGGTTGATTAAATTTGTTCTAGCTTTGCGGAACTCTTACCTTTTCTAGCTTCGTTTCTATTTGCAGGGTATTTTCTAAATTCGTCATTTTCACTTTTTTTTTCTGGAAAAACACTTTTTTATTCGAATCTTCGTTTTCCAATAATAAACAGTTAGGTGACGAATCCACTGTGTCCTAAATATGCGAATCACAACAGAAGACGATGATGAAGCTTCCAGCTGCAGCTACGATTGAAATGAACTTTCCTATTGGAATGCCTTCTCACATCTTCAGCTTCATTTCATGCCTGTTACAGGTAAATGTCAAAAAATCCCACTTGTGCGTTTTCCGAACTAGTGTTTTCAACACAATCTTTTGCGTAACTACTGAACTATAAGAACAAATCGCACTTTTATCACACAAGTTCCCCCGAAAAAGCCATGAGTTTTCTGATATCGAGATCGTTTCTGCACACCGCACGTGCTATTCTGATAAGACAAGTTTCAACCAAAACTGCAACCACAACCCCCGCCGCCAAGGAAAAATGGGATCTGTATGCTGGGGTGCTGGTGGAACGACTGCCGGTGATTACCAAAACAATGGCCCCGATTGAAGCCAATTTTAAGGTATGGTTTGTCCCCCCTTGTATTTCTTTGCAACATAAGCATAGTTACGAAACCAACTATTACAGGCAATGCTCGATCAAATCGAGTTCGAAAACAGTCTCAAATCGAACCACGAACTGCGCAAGGAGATGGAAAAGCGCCAAGCCGAACTTCTTAAAGCGGGCAAGATCGATCTGGATTCGGAAGCGCTCAAACAGACGGCACAGGATTTGGAGGATGCCTACAACGATGAGTTCAGCAAGTTCAAACCTGCCCCGCGGCTTACGGAGGCAGACCAAAAGAACGACGTGAAATCGTTGAATCGAAAACTAGAGGAAACGCTGGTCCTACTGACGGAACAGAAGCTTGGCGAGAAGAGCTACTATCTCCTTCCACAAGGAAAACACACCGCAGGTGAATCGCTGCGGCAAACCGCCGAACGTGCATTGCAGGAAAACGTAGGCGACGCGCTGAAGGTTACTTTCTACGGAAATGCTCCTGTCGGGTTCTACAAGTACAAATACCCGAATACATCACGCCAGGAAGCGATCGGAGCGAAGGTATTCTTCTTCCGGTGCGCGCTCAAGCCAGACAGTGCAAACATAGTCGATAAGAAGGCCAAATTCCAGTGGTTAGACCAATCAGGACTGCAGAAAACCTTGAAAGAGTCCTACTACCATAGCGTTTCGCAATTTTTGTTATAATTGTCTTTGCTGAATAAACAAAATCTTAGACTTTAAGAAGAAGCATGCATTTATCTACAAGAGAGATTGCACACGTTAGGCTAGGATTGCTCTTGCATCGGCATCGCCGGCTGCTCCGTTCTGGTTCGGCGTGTTACGTCTCTTGACCACGTAGATCTTTTTGTTGGAAAGACAAATGGTGTAGCTGTGCTCTTCGTATACTATCGATATTTTCTTGCACGAACGCTTCTTGAACACGGCCGGATCAACGCTGGAAACCAAAATCACGCTTTTACTTTTTAATTGCCTTCGAAAATATAATTCATCCCATACCTTTCCGTCAGCGTCAACAATCCGCTGATGATGTTCGCACTCCGCTCGTCATTTTCCATCTCTCCACCGGAGGCCAGCACTGCTCCGTCCTCAGACATGATCAGATATCCGATCTGATCCGGAATGGGGCGATTATCCAAGTCCAACATTTTACTTTTGCTACGAACTGCAACTACCGGACTCCTGCTGCTTCCGTTACAGCAGTAGACTTGTGCTAAGGCCTGATGGGAATCGCTACTGCTGCCACTGCCACTGGAACCACTACTCGAATTTCGATTGCTACTACTGCTAACCGATGAGGCACTTTGCAAACTTAGCTGACCGATGCGATTAAATTGTCAAATGAAGAAGTGCGTAAATAATCGAACCGCTAGCAGGATCCAATATTTTAGTGAACTCATCAAACGAAGAACAATAAGCGATGGAGCCTAAGAGCACTGTGATACTCGTCTTGGCTGATGGTGATAACAGTATTATTATTGACCTTTTGCTTATCAATTTACGAACAGCGGTACTTAAACGAGTGCTAAGGTCTAAAAGGACTGGTGTTTTGGGCTTTTGCGTCTAGACCGATCGATTTTTCCAATATCCTGCGGTCTCCACTATGTATTTTTCTTGGCAAAACTATTTCCACTGACACTTTTATACTGATGATTGTTTTGTTTTGAAAGAATTGCGGAGTATATGGATAGGGCTTACGGTACCGGATTTTGGTTTAATATCAACTGAGATTGAAAAAAAAAATTGTGTTTAGCTGAAATGGTTGCCAAACCAAAATCCAACGGCACCTGTCAAAAAGAACCCATCGATGGGGACCAGGGACCAGCAAGATACGTTTTCAGGTTTTTTGACAGTTAAGCGCCCATATATCAATATATTGACAATAAATTGACATACTGACAATATTATTGAAAAGGTGATATTCAAGACAATGATTGATGACAAGTATTGACGAAAAGCTGATTTTAATTTCACTTTGTCAATACTCAGAATGTATTGACAAAAAAAAAACGGTCAATTTCGCCATCAATATCATCGATGTATACATATTGACAACATTAATGGCAATACGTTAGAAGTCTTTTTACCTCAATGTATTGAAGTCAATATTACTTGTCTCAATTTCCCCACACAAGAAACATGGATCAGAGAAAAAAAGTGTGTTTAGAGTTCATGTTTGTATTCGGGTCCAAACAGAAACGATTGCTGGACCTGTATGTATTGTAAATACTAGCTACACACTGAATTCGGTAAATTTTGCCGGGTTTTGAACAGCTGAAAAAAATGGAAAAATTTCAAATGGCCGTTACTCGAAGGAAATCAATAAAATCTCAAATTGGTTTTGTATCGTTCAAAAGGGGTTAACCAACAATCAATACGAAACTAACGATTTTAAATTGGCTCACTACTTGACTAGCCTATTGGTAACGATTAACTTACCCCATTCTAGTCGAAATTATAGTACTACGTAATGTTTGTTTTGATTCGCTATGAAAGTTTGACAGATAAAATGAGGGGTTAGTGGATTTTCCTATGTTTCGAGGGCTGAATCGATTAGCTTGGGACCGAAGAGAGTACCAGAGCTGAGCCAAAAAGTTGAGCACGTTATTTCGGGACCTTCTAGTCTTAGAGTTACTAGAGTCGATGTATAATGAGTCACGCCAAGAGAAAAACAGTTGAACTCGCATCACGGTTTTCGAAAGATTCCCTTTCTTTTAACTTGGCAACAGAGGACTTCTGCATCAACTTCAAATGACTTCTAGCGAGGAAAAAAATTAACGGCTGTAGTAAATCATTATATCAGTATTTTGTCGAATTATCTTAAAGAAAAATAGTAGAAATTGTCATTACTGATCATTACAAAACGTATCGCATGACAAATGTAATGCTCACTGCGTGTATATGATCATTTCTTCGATTATATTTCATATTTAATTGCAATACCTTTCGTGGACCTTTCATAGCATCGTAATGCTTGTTTACTTTGCACGATAGGTAGCCGGTTTGACAGTTCAATAGGTAGACTTGGCTTCACTCTTGGCGTGACTCATTATACACCGACTCTAAGAGTTACCTCTATGGGTTAACTAAGTCCGATCATTTTCGGTATAAATTTTAGTTTTTTTTTTATTTTTCATTTTTCCGTAGTTCAAAAATTACCAAATTGCGGAGTCCGGGTTTAGTGGATATACATATAAATTAACTTTCACCCAACATTTCTCATACTTGCTCATTTCAAATTAATTTTCAGGATTTTTAGAATAAATAGTGTTAAATTATGATCTATTCCAGGCCTACTCTTAAGTTCTCAGAATGATGTAAGAACTAGGTGATTAATTATAGCTTCCAATATTATTTTTGATATCACTGAACTCTCCTGTTTCGTTAGAACAATAATGTTTACCTAATGTTACCCATACATATAGGGGGTTATTCCGAGAGTCGAAGTGATTTTTATCACTATCGAAGTTAGAAAAGTCACGTCGTGGTGTCGTGACTCTCTATGCAAATCAAATGGAGAGTCACGTTACCACGTGGGTTATTCTGCGTGAGCTGTAAATTTGTCATTCAAACACCAAATGTTGTAACTTTTTGACAGGACACAGAAAATACACAGGACATGTACTTCCAAATTGATCGAATTTAATCAAATCGATTGTCGAGTGCGCGGAATTACTACACGTGTGGAATACCCCACGTTAACGGTACGCAGTTTCCCAAATAGAAACTACCATGCTGATGTTTTGGTAAACATTCATAAATGCAAATCATGCATATAATAATTAATTTACGTTACATGTAGGTATGTGAAACGCTGATAGTATTTATTTTATTTTAAAGTTACAAAAAATAACATGGTTATGCTTGTGATTTTGTAGAAAATGTACATCCATGTAAACGAAGCCTGGGTGATTGGTGACTGTAAAAATATACATGTTTTATTTAGTTTGAAATCGATTGCATATCACACACGAAAATTTAAACAAATGGCAACACTGCATGCCTCGCTGCATGGGCGAAGGTGCTTTGTGAGTTAGTCGATCTAAATGACGTACGTTGTCCCTCCTCTTGAGTAGGGGAAGAATAGGCTCTTTTCATGCACAATCAATGTAGAGTGCGCTAGCCGATTTTGAGAGGAAATGTCATCCAATCCATTTGTTTACATCATAATGACGATTTTCAAAACTCAAAATAATGTACATTTTATTGCACAACTTGCAAATTTCCATCGGGAGTGGTCTTATTTTACGATTATCTACAGATCTGAACTGATTTACTGCTGAAATAACCACAAATTAAAAATCCGGAAGATCATAACCGCTGAGACAATTTCATAAATCTTATTTTTTCTCATCAAAAAATATATGGAAGCACCAGCCGGATCACTGCAAACCCGATACAGAAAACAAAATATTCCACGATGATGATGATTTCAAGCACCTGCGGTGGATAAATTAATCAGGAAAGGTGAAAATATTTTCCTCTTCCTATGCTTCACGGTGAAAATTTCCACCCTCATCACTATTTTTATGGTTCCCCTATTCACCGCCAGAAGACGAAACAATCGCTTAGTTTCTATTGAATTCGCCTATATTGACAAAGTGAAATGAAAATCAGTTGTTCAACAATACTCGTCATCAATCCATCGTCATCAATATTACCTTTTCAATCATATTGTCAGTATTTCAATTTACTGTCAATATATTGACCCGTGTAACGAGCGCTTTAGCGTATTGTCATTAATGTTGTCAATGTTTATGTATTGATAATATTGTAAGGAAATTGACAATACGATGTTTGTCAATATATTGACATGTGTAATGGGCGCTTTAGACCATGCATTATCTGTCAAAAAACCCGAAAACGTATGCATTGTGCGCCGGCCTTTTCGTTTCTTATACCTCGTTCGCATTACAGCGTATATCACGTGATATACGCTGTCTTGCAATGAGCACTCATACATCTAATTATCACTGGAAATCCATCGTTCACATTACAGCCTATATCACGTTATATAGGCTGTCTTGCAATGAGCACTCATACATAGGATTTCCAGTTTAAACTAGATGTATGAGTGCTCATTGCAAGACAGCGTATATCACGTGATATCTAGGAAAAAGGCAAATTTTCAATTTCAAAAGTGATATAACATGATGCGAGTCGCGTTTGACGGCTGTTTACGTTTGTTATCACCACTACGACAACAGCACCACGGGTGGCCGGTGGCTGGTTGGATTTCACTATTGTTATCCTCACTTTCGGACCATCAATACTCGCGCATATAGAAAAAAAAACTATAGCTGATAGGTCCTTTTCAATTGTTGGTCGACCCAAGGCGAACCAGCCAATAGACGAGTACACGGATGGATTTGAGTTCACTCACTCGACAAAAAGTGACACAACAGCGGGGCCCTGTTTACTAAAAATGAACACATGAATAATACTCACGTAACATTTGAAACCGGCCTATCAACTTTCGTACACAAAACTTGTTAAACCTTTTTCGCGCGAACCGAATACGACCACGCAAACTAACATCACCATCGGGTAGGGGAAATTCCCCTCTTTCCGACAGTGCTCTTGGTTTGCGTGGACGTACTTCGGTTCTCGTGGAAAGGACCTAGCAAATTATTTACAAAAATTGATATGCCCTTTTCAAATGTTACGTGAACATTATTCATGTGTTCATTTTTAGTAAACAGGGCCCCGCTGTTGTGTCATTTTTTGTTCAGTAGATGAACAAAAGTTCACCCGTGCACTCGTCAATGGCTGAAAGCCTTGTAAATAAAGGAAAAAAAAAAAAAAAAAAAAAAAATTGCTGGTCGAGATTTGCTTTAAGCGTGTAATAAAGATGTGAATCGTGCGCGTTCATTTTCAACTTTGCCACAAAAACAAAACTAGTGCAACGCCCGGGTCACGCTCGGATGACACTTTTGTTGTGAAACACGAAACACGAGAAAAACAACAACACCGCCAAGAAGAAACCACCGTCATCACAATCATCATCGACGACGTACGATTTCGATTCATCTGCGCTGGCAGCCATTACAGTTTGTCGTTAGCCATTGGTGTGAAAAGTTCGTGTGTCGTCCCGAAAAACTCGAAGTGAAAAAGTGAAAATTTGCTGGAAAAACCACCCGAAATCTGGTGAAAACTGTGCAATTCCGTTCCCGGAGCTGTAAGTAAGCTTCTTAGTGTATTTTTCGCTGAATACTCGCTTGATTTGGTGTTATTCCGGTGGATTTTTGGTCATGAAAATTTTCACCCGTGACACACCCAACTTGAACCGAGGAGTGAAAAGAAGAAGTTTGGACCACTTTCCGATGGGCTCAAATTTTCACCCAAGAAATTCAAAAAAGCAAATTGCATTTCGAGTCAAAATCTGCTTCCTTTTTTGTTTTACAATGCCGATGATACCGTCGCGCCGCCGTTCATTGCCGCTGGCTGCTGCTCATTACCATTGCTGTGCTACATTGCCGAGAATTTTTTTTTATCCTACTTAGCCATTTTGCGAAAAATCGATAATATCACCGCTACGGAAGGGCCGTCCTTTCCAATCTGCTGCAAATCAACGAAACAGTCCCCTGACGTGAAGATGCAAAATTTAAAATACCAAAAAAAAAAACAACTAAATTCAGAACTTGTAATGCTGATCTTCGAATCGAATTCTAACACCGTACAAACGAGTGCGATTACGTCATCGATTTCCCGTGGCTATTTTTAGTTCATTACGGTGTGTTATGCTCTCTGCCCTATCTCCATCGGGCGGCGGTCTGCCTCTCGCTTGCTCTGCACTGCTGCTCTGTTGATGCGACGGATGCGACATGGCAGTGCCCTAGCGGATCAGTATAGGACCGCGATGCGTTGCTGGAGGAAGATGATGGTGCTGATGATGATGGTAGGGTATTGCATGGAAGAATGCGAAAGATGAAGAGAGAGAGAGGGATAGAGAGAGCTCGAAGGAAAAGTAACAGAAGCAAAACAGTAATCACTAAGAAGAAGAACTCGTAAAAAATGGAAACAAGATTCGATATGACGTGGTGTGTGTGTTGCATTTGAAAAGAAATTGAGTAAAAGTGTTTTCCTATTGGAATTCGGGTAAAAAGTGAATGTTGCGCTGCGGGAAGTATTGGGATTGGTGTGGTATTTAAAAAAAATATTTTATTTATTTTGGAAATTTGTTTTAATTTCAAATGAACTAACGAAACTTAACCCTTTATAAGGCCGAGCAAACCAAGCATTGTATCAACTCGTACTTCAATTTATTTATTATAAAGTAATTCAAAACAATTATAAGATAATGTTTCGGCTATTTTTGGGCTTGATCGATTTTGTCTATCGGCAGCTTGAGCAATTTTATAAAATCTCTTGTAACATTTGAAAAGGGCCTATACATGTCTAAAATGTATTGAATGCCCGTTCATAGGATTGATTTGATAGGATGAAATGTTAGCTCCATAATCTTTAACAGTTTTCTAAGACCATGATCTTAAAATATGTTCTCTATCGAAGCCTCAAAATCTTAAGATTTTTGTTAATCCTGGATCTTAAATTTCTGTGCACGGAACCTTGACATTTAAACAATGACAAATTTCATTGTTTAAATTTTTTTTTGATACTCATCTCCGGATATCTTAACAAATTAGAATTTGCTTAGGATCAATAATCTTAAGATTCATATTTCGTGCAGATCATTTTGAGAATTATTTCCAGAAAACTATTGAAATTCACTCTTCATTTATCTTCGCATTCGTAATAATTCTCGCGAGAATTTGTTTAATTTCTCTCCATAATTTTCTTTAGAATTCACTCGCAATATTCCTCGGAAATCTCATGATATGCCATTTAGAATTACGAAATGTAATCTCCCAAAACTTCCTGGGATTTCACATCAGAATTCTTCTTTAAATGCCTCAGAATTTTTATTTAAATCGAGATATTTAGCTATTTATATTAAACCGGGAAAAATATGATGGGCACCCGGGTTTTCCGGGAAAAAAACGGGAATTTAATTTCTTAAATTCAGTGGCCACCCTGAGTTTATTTTTTTTATCTATTTTGTTTATTTGGTTCTACATCAACAGACGGGGTTTAGTCCTAATGATGGATTAAGCAATACTAGGAAATACAATATAGTCAAGAAGTAACTAGCTGCAAAGGCCGTGAAGTCCAACTTATTTCTTAATTCTTAACATCTATATCACGGAATCTCTGACGTAGCGTCTCGCGTGCCAAGTGAAAATCAAATAAGGAAGCAACACGATTGAAAACGCTTTGTAGCCCATTGATAGCACCATACGAACTATAGTTTGTACGACGAAAAGGTATCCTCAGCATTGCGTTGTTACGGAGTGCTCGTGGTTGAACGTTAACGTCGATTTGTTGTAGCGTAGAAGGACAATCGATTCTGCCCTGTAGAATGTCTGCCACAAACAGGGCCCTTGTCGTATCTCTTCGACGCCACAAAGGATCCAGCTGAATTAACTGGCACCGACTTTCGTAGCTTGGAAGGCGATGAGGATCCCTCCAAGGCAAATGTCGACGGGCAAACCAGATGAATCGTCGTTGAATAGAATCTACTCTTTGTACATCGACCGGACGAGGGAGCAGAGTAAAGCGACTTGAAACAGTAGATGTCCGTGAAACTTTTAGCTATCCTGAAAATGAAGCCGAGCGTTTTGGATGCCTTGTCGATCACGTACGAGATATGCTGGCTGTATGTGAGTTGACAATCTAAGATGACTCCCAGACCCTTAATGTGATTCACACGATGTACGTCAACGCCTTTTAGGATATAACTGAATGTAATTGGATGTTTCCTCCGTGAGAACGTGATTACTGAACATTTTGTTGGATTTACAACCAAGCGGTTCAGTTGGCACCAATTAGCAAAAGCGTTGAGTGGGAGTTGGAGAAGGTGGCAGTCAGCGATGGCTCGGATTCGGAGATAGATTTTCATGTCGTCTGCGAACGACAGTCGTGGACCGTCGAGGCCGAAATTGTCGTTGAAATACACAAGAAATATCAACGGGCCGAGGTGGCTACCTTGCGGAATACCCGATGTGGCAGGGAACTAAGGAGATCGGCAGTCGTCCTCAGGATGACCTCTGGAATTTGGTTGCCCTCAAGTGCAATAACTAAAGGAGGATGGTGTGGAACAGTCTTTATCAATGGAGAAACAGCCATAGACAAATGCGGAGCAGTGACGAAGCAAAGGTCTAAGCTACGATTGTTCTCATTAGCCACGTGGTTGATTTGCTTCAGAGCGGCGATACTGTAATGACCCAATAGGCTTACAGCTCCAGAGTGAAATGTAGAACGGTCGTGGTCCGGATACAGGAATCCACCGTAAGATGATCGCCAAGAAATTTCCGGTAGCTTGAAGTCGCCAATGATTATCATCTCGTCAGCAGCTGTAGCGATCTCCATTATAATTCGAATAAACTGACTGTGGGATTCAATTAGCGTAGAGTCGCAAGTTCGATCCGGAGGAAAGTAAACTACACACAAAAAACAAAGTTCGGTCAGCGAGCTTAATGGCAATCCAAACTTGTTCCACACAATTCCATAAATCGTTTTCGATAACTTTTGCCTTCAATCCAGAGCCGATTGCTATGATAACGCCTCCACCAGTAGATTTGCGGTTGTTGTGCAGATTTCGATGGCATCGAAAAACCTCGTATTCGGAACCAAACACTTGATTTGACAATGTGCGAGTATCGAGCCAAGTCTCAGTGAGAGCGATGACGTCGAAGCAACGATCCGAAACCGCTAAGCGATAATCATCGGTGTTGGAATTCATCCCACCGGCGTTTTAGTAATACATACTGTGACGATAAGTAGCCTGGCGGGGGCTGCATTGCGATCTTGAATTATACTCGCCTGATTGGGAGATTCGGAAGACCCCCTCTCCGTTTCCGATCGCAGGGCCGGGCCGACTCCGATGAGCGATGTCAGCTGGGACTGGGGGCTTCCAAAATACTGTCCACGGTGCGTCCCAGGGTCGAAGATGAAGAAGATGGAACCGGTTGATGCGGAGTTGATTCCAAGTTCCCATGACGTGCGTTTCCTTCGTTAGAAGATTCCTGTGCGCTGAAAATCAAACCGACTTCAGGCAGCGAATGATCAATGTTGAATTTATACTTGCCTGGTATACGAGCTGGTATAGCAAGTTGGAAGACCCCCGACCCACATCTAAACTCAGGGCCGGGACGGCTGTGGTGAACGTTGGCAGTAAATGGCGTGACTGAGATAGAGGAACCGGGGGGGCTTCCACTGTGCTATCTACGGTGCGTCCCGGTTGGAAAGTAGAACCATTCGTCAGGAGAGGGGAAGACAACGACGCCACCTCCTTTTGCGTCGGGGTATTGGTGAGAATCTGGATGTAGGGGAATTCATTCCGCAACGAAAAATTCGAATCGTAAAAATACTTGCCGGTGCAAGCATGGTGGAAGAACCCCTTTCTACCATCAACCTCAGAACCGAGACGACTGTGGTGAACGCTGGCTACAGTTGGCGGGACTGGGATGGGGCGATTGAGGGCTTCCATCAGGCTTTCTTCGGTGCGTCTCGGGTTGTATATCGTCAGATGGCGTGATTAGGCGTTGTCGGTTGTGCTGGGCGTTCCTAAAGGGACTGGTGCACCAAGGGGTGCTGGTTTGACAAGTTTTGAATACTTGTCACCGAATACCGGACGGTTCGTTAATCCGGACGTATAATTTTCTATTAAATGTTACTGTGTGTTGGCAGACAGTTTATGATAAAACTTTTACTTGCTCAGATCTTCCTAAATTGCATCCGATCGGAGATGAGTTCCATGTTAAAATTTACAAATTGTAGGAAGGCTGTTGACACAAGAAGTGGACCACATGTCGCAAGACGGCAACTTGCTTTACATATAGAATAATCAACGTTTTGTTTATACAAGTTGATAGGACCTTTTCAATTGTTGGTCTACAATATATTGAATTGGTTTCGCTTTTTGATAGATCGAAAATTCTATCCGCCAGACTATGAACATAGCGACTATAACCGAGAGGCGCTAAGATCGTGATTTTAGTTAATGTAATCGCACTTATTTAAAATAGTTCCAGTGTAGCAAAATTGATTAAATTTTGGAGTTCAGTTCCATTTCTAATACAGATTACGAATATGGGTTTACCTCAATACCCATAAACA